TTGTGCTTAAAATATGAATAAATATCACAAGTCAAGTGATACTTATACATATACAGGGTGTATATGAACTTTTGTGAGGGGGTGATAGTAGAGGTCAATACAGGCAACTTTGGTCCTATGAACAGGAGTGCCTCGGACTTCTTTAGGAGATACAAGGGGGTAAACATATGGTGCTGGTGCTGGTGCCCCTATTCACTACCTGTAAAGTTCACACATTTTTCTGCTGATAAGATTTTATGGAATCAATTTGAGAAAAATTGTGGTGTCCAATATTTGCATTTATAAATGGATAATTGACATCTAGAGTATTTAAGGAGAGGGTTTACAACAGGGGTGGCCAACCTTTTGCATACCATGCGCCAATTTTTTGATAGACGAGTTCAGATGCACAGTGGCGTACCGTGAGTGTTAGCCGCCTGGGGTGGAGAAAAATTTCAGCCACCCCTTAATTAGGTATTTCAATTTATAAGATGAAAATTCAGTTTTGCCACAGAATAAGCAATGAAAAATGCAGTTGTAGTGTAGTTACCCGAATGTATCATGTATCATACAGGCAAAAAAAAAAAAAAAGGTCAACAGGTGTCGCCGGAACTACTCGAAAAAAGAAGTTAGTAGTCTAATCCGATTCTGATTCCTGGACAGTCTGGACGGTAGCACTATCGTGGGACGTTAGCACTGTCATTTAGACACCTGTAAACTGATTGAAAATAAACATAAATGAACATAAACTGTAATTTACTATGTGGAGAACACTCATTTTATCTGTAAAGTTGATTGCAACGAATTGTGCAATAAATGAACTTGCCAAGACAGACTATAAAAAATTAATTTTCTATGTAATATTCATAATTGCAAAGAAGCCAAATCTGGCAATGTTGCTCAGAATTGACTGAAGCGCCACTTGTGATCGTCCAATGCGCCAAGTTTTGGCCACCCCTGGTTTACAATGTCACTTAAACTGTCAGATTCATGATGGCTACATATTAAAGCAGTGCAGAATATGTTGCTATGCTTTTAATTTATGGTGATGCTGGATGCAATGGAAAGGCTGCCCAGTGACTGTATCACAAGCATTACCCACATTGTCCAGTTTCATTGCACAGGATATTCAAATGTATGTGTGACTGCAGGGTCAGAACCATGTCAAAGTGCCATGTCAGGATGACACCACTATGTCTCTAGGAACACACAAATTGTGATAGCAATAGCATTCACATGTGAGTGGTCACAATTTCATGATGAACTCAGGATATTTTTCTTCTAATTATCAATTAGAGATTCAGACTATATCCTGAGTTCATCATGAAATTGTAACTATATGCAAATCAAAGATAACTCGTATCCACCACTAGAGGGCTTGAACCTGATACAGATGGTATAAAACTTGGCAGTTGGTGAGAAGATTTACTTAATTCTTAATGTTAAGGCGTCAGATACCTAAAATGAAAGGCTGACGTCGGATCGTTTTAATTGTAAATTTTACCTATTGTTATTCGTTTTTATGAAGTGATTTCTTCAAACCAATGTAAAGGCTACTTCTATGATGTATGAAAAAAGGATTAATTGATAGACTCAAAAATTAAATAATTTTTTGTATATAGTCTGAATCTCTAATTGATAATTAGGTGAGTGGTCACATTTGTAGGCAGTTAGATCTGGGATGGAGGCAGTTCAAGAGACAAGATGTCGTAAGGAAGGTCACACAATCATTGATCAATACAAATAAATACCTGTATAATTATCATAAAATACTGTTTACAAGGAGGAATCATATGTATTTAGGATTTGTAAGGGATTTTGGTTTGTTTTGATTTACTGTTAAGATGCTTGTAAAAGGCCAACCTGGCCACAGTGTCTTTTGAGAAAATAAATAAATAAAATAAAAAGATATCAATAAGCTATTATAACTACCGTATATCTGCACAGATAAGATGATACTTGATCATAAAAAAAGGCCCCCCCAAAATCCAGGGTCGTCTTATAGGACAGATACAAAAAAAATTAGATTGAAATTTATATAAATTAAAACCATTATAAAATAAAACAAATCATTCACCAATGTATTTAAATAACCCATATGACATTTTTATGAATAGTCAAGGTCATTATCCGAATGCCTGAATCAGTGCAAATGTTTGCAATAATTGCAAAGCAATACTGTCAAATGCAAGAAAATAAAATTTGTTCATTCAAAAAATTACGAATAGGACATAATTTCGTATATACTATGCAGTATTATTATCCAGATGATGATCACTGATCTACGCTAAATTCATAGGCTGTTGATAGTTTGAGAGTCATCTTATAGGATAGATATATGTTAAAACTATAAAACTTTGACGAAAATTATACCTCGTCTTATCTGCATAGATATACAGTATCTTTGCAAGTCCTAGTCATGAGAGAGAGAGAGTTTACAGAGGTTTATGGGTACATAAATACCTTGTAGAGATTGTTGAGTTTGTTCTTTTATTGTTGATCAGTTAGAGGATTTAATGAATCAATGATTTGGAAGATTCAGTTGAATGCTCTTGGTAACAGGTAACAGGATTGTCAGCAATGAATGTTTGTCAGCAGTTTGAATGAGAGCATCGCCGGATGGAAGGAAAGTCACTTGAGAATGAGTAGACAGCAATCTTCAAGATAGATAAGGTATTCGAGATCTGGCACAAACTCACAAGATGGAACTTAGACAGCAACAGACTCTATGTGATGGATGGACTCTCATGTCATCATTAGACATTACATTTTATTTGGGATTCTTCCCCTCTTTCTTCTCATGTCCTTTTTTTAGTTCTATGTCCCAATGGTAATTTTTTTTTGTTAGGTTCCTGGTGACACATTCAATGTGTCATCTTGGAAAGGAAGTGAGTCTGGGGTGAAAGATACAATCATATCCTTTACATTTAATAAATGTAGGAAAATTTTAACAAGTTTTAACATAATCGGTAAAAAAAAGTTTATTCAAAAAATTATTGTCAAGTCCAGGTTCTCACATATGTCAACAGTTGCGAGAAATAGGCAGTTTCACTGTAGACAAATCTGAGACTGTTGCAAAGGAGAACCCAAATACTGAACTTTAGAGAACAGGTTTTGATGCATATTGTAGCAAATCCATCAAGTAAGCAAACACTTGCAAAACTCTATTGTGACAAACCATAAGGCCTGCATGGGCACAATTGCATCCTTATAATCTCCAACAGCTAAAAGCATTTGATTCAGCAGACTATATTCCATGTGTCACTTTTGCTCAATGGTTCCTTTGGCATTGAAGAGCCCAAATTTCCAGAGCTTATATTATTTTCAGATAAGGCCTCATTTACCATAGAGGATCTGTTCAATTCACAAAATGGCCATACTTGAGTTTATGAAGACCCCAAGGCTCTTGGCACTTGTTCCAGAACATTTCAATGTCAGGACAGGAATCATAGAGTACAGCTAGCAGAACCATCCTGTGTCAATTGTACTTGACATTTCAGTAATAAACATTACGTGAACTTCTGGAAGGGCATCCCTTTAAACATCTAAGATCACATATGGTTTCAGCATGATAGGGCACCAGAATGCTTGTCCTGTTGTTTGAAACACATTCTGAGATAGATGGATTGACAGAAGACCTGTAGCTTGCCCTTCATGTTCTTACAATCTCATACCTGTTTATTTCCTTTAGTGAAATCATATGAAAAAATCTTGTCTGTAAGATGCCAGTCAACTCTGCTAAAGAACAAATAACATGAATTTTTGTGGCTGGAATGGAATCCAGGATATGCCAGGATTTACCCCACAATGTGTTTCAGAGATGTTGATGGCATCATTTCAAACACCTCTTGTAAGCAGTGGCTTCACAAAACCTTATTGTTTCACACTGTGAGAATTAACACATTTCAATAGTTACATTGTTTATTCTTTACTTAAAAGGATAAAATACATTAAAAAACACAACTCTTAAAACAGAATAACACAAGCAAAGGAAAAGAACATTCTATGCCATCTATCAAATTTTTATACTGTTGTGTTTGTCAATTGTCATGTTATCACTCAACAAAATCAAAAAAAGCAAAACAAAAACTTTTCTATCGTCCATTTTCATTTCTGATGTGTACAACTTTAGTAGGTGCACTGGTGTTGCACAGTTTCACTTGCTTTTGTGTTTTTGTTTTTATATTTGTATTTATTTATTAGCATACCAATGGTGCAAAACATACAGCTTTACAATAAACTACACAATTGTACAAATAAACAATTAAATTATTTCTTTTACAACATAAAAAGACAGTGTTAAAATCTATAATAGTTTTTAATTGTTAAATTATTTGTACTGTTTATATCAAAATCACTATCTGTGTAGAAAAGTTTTGAAATATTTTCACACATTTGATATACAGAGAATAATTTCTGCACCTTGGCTTTCTCAAGCAACATGTGTGCTTTACAGAGGCAGCAGCACTACCAAATGTTTACTTCTTGTATCCTCTAAGAGTCCATGGCACCAAATGTGAAGATCAAAGTTGCTTGTATTACCCCTACTACAGGGTGGGGCAAATAAAAGTGGCCTGGAGAACCGAGTTCCAGGGTACAAAGAAACACAGCAGAGGAAAGGAAATACAGTACTAACCTGACTATAGCAGATGTTGAAAGTGACCACCATTCATCTCTTGGTACTTTTGGGCCCTGGTCAGCAGGTTGCTGAAGGCAGATCGAAGCTAATCGTATCCACTCGTCCAGGCCACTTTTATTTGTCCCACCCTGTATAATCCCTATTGGTTTGTTACAGGTGTTCAGATACACACTGTAGATTGTTAGACAAAAATTTCTGGAATTGAAATTCTCTGAAAACAGGTTTTAAAAAAATCTGAAAATGTCCTAAATAAATGGGTGATGAGTTTCCTTTAAGCAATGTGGTATTTGATTACAATATTGAACATGATAAAGGAAAATAATCATATGTAGAAGAATTAGTTTAATTTTATGAGTTAGAAAAGAAATACCTCTCATTGCAGGATCTGAGGTGTCATGTTTCAACAATGATTCACTTATTAAATTAGTAAGAAATTATCCATCTCTGTTTGATAAAAATCATAAAAATTATGAAGATAGTGCTTTGAAAGCAAACCAATGGTCTGAAATAGCAACAGAGTTGAATTCAACAGGTATGCCATTATTATTAAAACAGATTTCTTGCATTTAAAATAAACTGAGTATATATTTTTATTTACAGTTGAAATTGTTAAAAATCAGTGGGTGAGCCTTCAAGATCAGTATATAAAAGAAAAACATGCATTGACTCTTTCCAATGAATCAGAAAATGGTGAAACAAAAAAATCAAACTGGGATATTTATCCAATTTTAGATGAGTTTTTAAAAATGTAGAACGTAAGGAGTAAGTTTAAGGGTGATTATTTTTAATACTGTATATAAAAATAAAAATATATCTAAGGTGTAAACAAATTAGATAGTTTTAGTTCAAGACAAAATTCTCATAATTAAAATTTATTTTATAGAACTGCAGATAATGTAGATTCCAGCCTTATGACAAATACTGATATTTCTGGAGAGGTCACTTCAAATATTGCTGCACCAAATGAAGCTATCTCATCAGTACTGTCTGCATCTAAGCCATCCACATTTGTACCATCTTCAGCCACATCATCCACTCCTGTACCGTCTGTAGTTATACCATCCATACATGAAACATCAGTTTTCATCCCAAATAAAAATACAGAGGAGTAATTACATTTATTGAATGTAACACATGTATTTAAATATAATTAATTAAATTATATGTTAAATTAATTATCAAACAAATTTGTATCCATTACAAAAATAATTTTTATATTTTAACAACAATGATTTCATTACAGTGGATCTATTGTATTTCCAATAAGGTCAGTATTAAGAATTGAGATTATATTCTTGAAAATACAGTTTTAATTATTGTGACATCATCACAATGTCAAGCTGCAATTTTTAATCACATCTTAATTTGAAAATAAGTTTTCCATATCTGGTCTCAATTTTCATCTAACTCTGCTCTCAAGATTAATGAAGGATAGATGAACAACAGTTAAAATGTATCCACAAGTTTCCAGAGAAGGTTCATGTATTTTTCCATACTGTGGCACTGCCATTAAGATACTGCGAGAATGTCAGAACTGCAAATATAATTGATTTTGAAATGACTAATAGAAATTCATTCATAAACTTGCATTGTTAACAATTGTAAGAGTTTTTATGTTTTAAATTATAGAATATTTTCAATTGTTTTTACCCAAGTTTAAATTTTTTCTAACGTAAAGAAAAAAGCATGCTACATGCATTGTGGGGAAATATCTTTTAAAACTGATAAAAATTTAAAGTAAAATTAAGAAAACTTAAATTTTATTTTCTAATTTTTTTTAATGTTTTGTTTTTAGAAAATAATTGGCAAAATTGGCTATTTAATTTTAATATTGTAATCCATTGTTATTATTTATCAGGAAATATTTATATTGCTGTTTAATTTATAAAGTTTTCCAAAATATTCACAGAATATCATAGAATTAAGTCTAAAGCAAAATTTTTGGATTTTTGCACAGTTTCTTCTACAAACTTATTTTCAGATAAACAGTCATTTTCACAAATTAGTACTATAAAATCGTGGAATAATGACAGGAGAGAATGGTCTTTGGAATATCCAGTTATATATGAATATCTTATCTCGGCTTACATTCACAAGGTGTCATAGTAAGTCTTTTAGTATTGAATAATATGCAGTCTCGAATATCTTATTAAAAGTAAAGCCTGTGATTACCAAGAAATGTTTAATTATAGGAGTCTTGACTCTTGTAATTATTTTTCAAGTGGTAAAGTAGGTGAAAATTTAATAAATTGTCATAACACATTTGTCTGTAAGACAAATGTAGAGCCATCACAAACCTTATATGCAAGTAATCATTCTGTTTGGACTTGTGTGTCTAATGATGGCAATGTATCTAGCTGGATATACAGTATATGCATTGTTGGTTACCCATTCTCCTCTTAAATTTTCATTACATGAAAATGAATGTAACTGGAATGGTTGAATACTTGAAAAGTTTGCAGATGTGAATGACTCTGGACCTTAACAGAGCTGTAGAGCTTGTCCATAGAAACAAAAAGTCAAAGGAACCATACCTCTAAATGTGACTCTTTGCAAGATATAGCCTGCTAAAATCAGCCTAAAACACTGCATGCTCCACTTATGCTGTCATGTGTTTAACAGTCAGTACATCATGGCAATCTGGCAAAGAATAAAGAAAAGTTCAACACTGAACCCTTTGTGAGAAATCTCCAAATGTGGAACCCATTGGCAGCAGTTCTGGTCACCATCTTGCTTGTGGGCGTCATGCTTGCAAGCAAGTTGTTATAGACACAGCAATCATTGCCTATAACAAATAATAAATGCATTCGTTTTTACTGATCAAAAACAGTTTTTCCTGTGTGCCAGTAGTACTGTCTATTTTTCACGCTTTGTGTTGTCAAGGATCACTATTGCTCGCTTTGACTGATGCTCCACGTGTAGTCATGTGCTTCAATGCTAGCTGTCACTTGTACCTCAGTGCCCAGATGGGTGCAAACATTATCTGGGCACCTTCTAAAACTATATATCATCAAGTACAGTACTCCACGAACAGTCAAGTGGGCTACTTGAAGCCAGCATAGTCACATGGACTAAATAGTTAAATGCGATAGTCTTAGCAGATTGCGTGATTGATCGCGTGTGGCTGATTTTGGTGGGCTATATCTCACAAAGGGTCACTCTTACAGATATAGTTCCTTTGATATATTTTTTGCTCTTACGGACATACTCCACAGTTCTGTTAAGGTCCCAACAGTGTCATTCATATCTGCAATTGTACCAATGTAAAGTACTATTTTTAACTTATTGCTCTACAACGATTTTCGTTCCGTAAGTTTGTTAGTTTGCCAGGCCTGGACTTATCGTGTGCACCGAAATAAATTAAAGACAAGTTAGTCAAAAATCAATAAAAGTATTTAATAAAGATCTATAAATGACTGTGTACAATATTTATAACAAACAACAAATTTATTCAATAAAATTAAATCCAAAGTCAACCCGACAAAATTCAAATCTTATTCTAACTTAGAACTATTCCCCCTGGAATTCCGACAAAAATCAATCCTTAACTTAGGTGCAAAATCTCTTATAACTATAAATCCTAACCGTCACCTCAATTATACTAGGAACCTTTTTCTCAACTCAAGACTTTCCTATTCCTCGGTCCACAAATTGAATACTGCAATCGCCTTGGACTATTTTCTATTGAACACTTTGTTTACTGCTACTGTATCATAGTTTGTAGGTATTTTAACAAAAAAATTCCTTTTCAGATGGAGAATCACAGCTGCAGGTACATACTAAGAGAAAGGAGGAGTAACCAGCGTACAAAACAATAGAAATCCTGAATCCCACCCGAACCCCACAAATTTTCATTTAGTACAAACTCATTAGATCATCAGCTCAATATCGGATACTATTAATTACAAACAATTCCCGACATTATTATTAAACAATGTCAGTATAGTTATTTTACAATATTATTTACAGTTTTAACAATTTTTAAATTTCAACAAACATCAATCAAAATGTAAACAACTATTTGAAACCGACAATAAATCAAAGGGTAAATATTAGTAATTATTTACAATTTTTATAATTAATATAACATTTAATTTAAAATATAAAATTTATATATAAAGAACACATGGAATACAACATCAAATACAATAAAGCACGGTGCAACAGCAAAATTAAACAATTAAACACAAATTGTAGAAAAATAAATTTAAACATATAAAAAGGCAAAACAGCCTAAAAAGGTAAGTAAACCTATAACATTTAGTCATCACAAAAAATAATACAGTTATTAATCATTTTCCATATAACATCAGTTCCCTTATAATTCCTCTTAAATTTGCCATCACTCATTGTCTTCAGGTCACTTTTTATTTTATAAGCAGCCTCTTCTTTTATTTTTGTAACAATGCTGCATTCCATCAATGCTTCTCGTAAACCTGGCTACATCGCCTTCCATATCATCCTTTTGACCAGAGCAATCATCCATATCAACATATACCTATTGGGATTCCTAAGTCCAAAATCTAAAAAACATTTCACATTAGTCCAAGTTATTTTTATCTTCCAAATCTTATTAAACCAAGACCAGACCTGTCGAGCAAGGTTACACTCAAAAAATAAATGAATCATCGTTTCTCTAAGTCCACAACATAAACACTGGGAGTCTCGACCATGATGGTAAGTAGCAATAAAATCTTTTGTCATTACAATATTTAGTAACATTTTCCAGGTGAGTTCGAGCCACTCAAGCGGGAGATCACTTACATTTTTCCATACTTGTTTCCAATTAATATTGGAGTTGACCATATTGTTATTTAACTGCTGTTTATGAACAATATTATAAATTAAAATTGGCCTAACCTTAGTTAGATTTTGTATTGTATTACCATGATTATCCATTATCTCGTTAATTATCTTTTGCCAGTTTCTATACTTCTTTTTGTTATTTACTAAAAAAGATAATTGATCCCCACCTGAGTAACTCTTTTTACAGTAGGTCCCAATATATATTGAATCCTGTGTGATATTTATCACACAGGATGATCATACTTTTTTAATGTGTTAATCATGTGACTGATCTGCAGTGAGTACTCTAGACTTTTAATCTCCCACACACTCCACCCCCCGTTAATTTTATCGTTAGTCATCATCTTTCTACTCAAAGGTTCATACGTATTCATCCAAATATATTCATAAATTAAAGAATTAATCTGTTTTATGTCCTCGGTAGTCAGGTTTGTATAATGAAGCTTATATATAATTGATGCAATAGCAATTTTGTTTATAATCGTGACACGCTCTGGAAGATATAGCCAATTACTTTTTCCATTCAATTATTACATTTTTAATTTTGTTAATCATCTCTTCTAAATTCTTTTTATTACTCTCTTTACCCACACATACACCGAACACCTTCATATTCTCAACGTTTTTTATTTTCATGGATTCACAATCCAAGTCCCCATATATATTAATTCATTTTGATTTATCCTCATTAATGCACATGCTTGTAAGAGCACTAAACTCCGTAATTTTATCTTGACTTTTCTTATTGACAACCAAAAAATTTATGTCATCAGCATGCGCATAAAATTTTGTAACTATCTTATTCCCAGGGATATAAATTGGATCAATAGTTTTATCATCCAGAACATTTTGTAGTAATACATTTATATAAATAATAAACAAAATCATGGAGCAGGGCAGCCTTGTCTCACCCCCGCTCCACATTTAATATCATGTGATCTTTTTCCATTTACGTAGATAAAAGTGCTCAGTGCATGGTAGTCTTTTGATTTGTTTAATTTCCTCATCATTAAGGCCATAAGCATCCAACATCCTCCAGAGCACGTCACGATTAACTGTATCAAAAGCTTTTTGGACGTCTATCGAGAGGATGGAGAGTGGGGATTTTCTCTCCACATAAATTGCTTGTAATAATCTTAAAAATACATTGTTGTCTTGTATAGATCTGCCTTTTATTCCGGCGGTCTGAGTACTCACTATACAGTTACGGAAAAGCTCCTCAAGTCTCTTAGCAATTATTATACTAAAAATCTCATAATCGATATTTAAAAGTGTAATAGGTCTAAAATTAGTAACAACTTCATCCGCATCATCCTTTTTATTAATTAAAACCATTTTGCCATAAGTAAAATTACTGCCAAAAGGGCTAAAATTAAAAAGTGTATAAAAAAGTCCGTAAAATTTTCAGTAAAAAACTTATATAATTCACTAGATAATAAATCGTCTCCGGGAGCTTTACCAGTATTCAATGACTGGATCGCATCTTTAATTTCATCTTTTCGTTATTTGTTTATTTATAATATTATCATTCTTTTGTTTTACAGGTTTACTGCTACTAGCACACCAACGCTTTCTATGCAGGAGCTCATCTCTGCCTTCTTCACTTGAGCTACGCTATTTATAGTCTGAGGTGACATCACAGTTTCTAAGTGAGACACTCCCCTCATTTACATACTCAAACGTAACATTCACTTTTTCTTGTTTATCTGGTAGCTTAATTCCCGACAATACTTTGTTAACCTTTTACAGTCTTTTGTTGAACAATTATCAGGATGTTTCCTTTAAGGTTTAACAAGTTCCTAAAAGTCTGTGGGGTCTTCCCCCCTTCAGTGTGGACTTGCTATCTTCCGCTCAAGCGTGCACGTGAGTGTGAGCGTTAATTATGGCGCTTTCTTTTTTTTTGTCGGTGAGTTGGTTTTATCTTCTCCTTTTTAACTTTCTAAGGTGATGGGTGAGGAAACCTTCGTCCTAACTAAATATAATAAAAGTAAAATAAAAGTAAATAAAAATAACGCTCGGACTTCGTTCCTTACACCAAATAGACATACAATTTTGATGCATTGTATTTTTTTGTGTACATTGTATGCAGCTTCAAACCACTTATAAANTTATAATTTTTATATTGTGGCCCCCACAATAGTAGCTCAAATTAAAAAATAAACATTCAGAATTCAAAAGTTTTTTTTAAATAATTTAAAATGATTTTTAACTAAAATAATTTAAGTATATTTCTTATAAACTACATATTGTGGTGAATCCCACCATGTTTTAGTCGATAATATCCTATGTTATCTATAACTTCCTCTTCTACTTAAATAACCCGCACTATTTTTCCTCTTTTGACTCTTCCAGCCTATTTGCACTTTCTGGCTAGTTTTGGGCTGAAAAGGGGGCAACAACCAAGAAGGCAACGTAGGAGGACTTTACTTTCATTATTCATTTTGGGAGAAGCAAGCGAGGGAAGAACCACATGAGGAAGACGAGGGAACGAATCCATGCGATCAGGGAGTGTACGTCGGAAGATTGCCCAAACTGTCGCACAGATAAGGGGGACTTCTTTCAATTCTAACCTTTCTATACTTTTTTTCTCTACCCAGATTATATTAGTTTATATTTTAAGTTAAGTTAGTCATAAGTAGTAGTATAATACGGTCACAACGAATTATGTACTGGTCGGCTTCGGGACCCGCACATGTAACCAGATATACAAGCTTTGTTCATGAGAGAGGAAAAGAGAAACGATTTAGTATCATGTATGGGCTCGAGATCATGTATTAAAATTAATTTGGAGATAAACTGTAAATAAATGATTTCCTCTATCTTTTGTTGAAATTTGTGTTAATACGTGGTGTATTCTTGTATAATATGGTTTTTCATTAACCTGTCACACCACAATATATATATATTGTGGTGTGACGGGTATGTATCATATATATATATATGTAACATATATATATATATGATATAAGTATGTATCATATATATATATATGATACATACTTATATATTTATTTCTAAAAATAAAACATGCAACAAATTTGGCATTTACTTTATTTAGTGTGATCCTTGTGGTTGATGCAAATTAGCAAGTTATTTAATGTCCAGTTACAATGCTGTCACAACAAAGATTGCCTCTATTCACAGCATCAAGACAGTTACAAGATTTTGAGAGCAGATGAATAATCTAACTAAATCCAGATTTAACAAGCTAAGATGTGGGAAATGCAATAATATATAATTAGCTCTCTTCCAAAGCTGTAGAAATTTACTTGCTATATCATTACTAATTCATAAATTTTCTTTATATCTACCTTGAGTGCTTGTATCACTTTGTAGCTCTATGAGATTTTCTTTCAATTCAATTTCAACATCAACTGTATTCACACAACATGGATCTATCACTCAATCTGAAATATTTATATATTTATAATATCAATGAACTGAACTTGCACATCCTCATAAAACTGTTTCAAATGCTCACTATACACAAAAATATCATTTTGTACTTTGGTAACAATAGTGGCCTATGACGGAAATTGTGTTAACTCACAACATCCAATATTCATTATTATTTTTGAAAAGGTGGCACTAAATTGAAGTTTCATAGTNACTCACCCAAAATGTTACACATACTAATTTACATTACTATTACAGTTGAATGGATTGTTCCATTCAACTGTAATAATCAGTTTTCACCCTTGAGTTTATAAATTGTTTACAACAAAAAATTGTAACAATTAAAATTTTTGATTGTTTATTAAAATGATACAATACAAAGACTTGTTTATTTCATTATAAATTCGTAACACTAATTAAAATCATTAGATATAGCAACAACGAACTGTGGATGAAAAGAAATTAAAACACAGAGAAATTTCACTTGAGTTTATAATTTCTTTACAGACTGTATTATATTGTGCAAAACTTAAGAAATCTGCTGTAAGAAATCATTGTTACAACAAATAAATAGGAAAAATAGGGATGTTGTGTTCTTGGAATTCTGCCATTCTTGTCCTAATACCTAGCATATATTGAAGTTTTTAAATCAGTTTTTAGTATAACAGATAGGTTAATAAATCTAAGAATGTTAAATAATTTATCTGCAGGGCTCTTGCCGAACAGAACTATCAGAAACAAGAGAGAACCGATTCAAAATGCGACATATCAGACTCTCGTCAAAAGTTAAACAAAACATTGAAAACCATCTGTGATATTGGAAATGATGAAATTGTATTATATTGCCAAAGTCTAGCATGTAGATTTAAAAAAATTGTCAGACGAAAGAAAAAGACGTGTGCAATAAAAAATTGAAGAATTAATGTATGAAGCGGAAAAGAAAGAGAACAATAAATTTTTTCGGTACTTCTGAATCTTTATCCCAGATGGTGGCACCGCCCTGGCGACCAACATCTCAACTAGTACTTGTATCCCCTCGAAACAAATTAACTCGGCCAGTTGACCTACCAACAGACGTGTTTTCCAAACCTTTGTGAGAAAGAAAAAATGTCTAAATTATACGATTTACCATGCGAGTTTTGCTGTGAGTCTGTCTACCAAAAATTTGGATTACAGAGATGAATTATATACATAGTAACATACAGCAGTCCAGATACAGAGTGAATAATCAAGTAAAATAGAAATGGATACAAAGTTAGCCGAACTTACAAAAAGAGCAGAGATACTGGAACATGACATGAACTACCTCAGATGTTTCTTACGTGAAGAAAGTACACCAACCACTATGAAGTTAAGAAGATCCATAAGAAGTGTTATACCTAAACATGAAGTATGGAAAATAGAAAGGAAAATAATAAAATTGGTAATTAGATTTAAGTATAAGAAATGTAATAATCTCAAATACCAAATAAGAAAATTATTATATAGACTTAAATATAGTGAAAACCCATATAAAAATATAGCTAGAGAATATAAGTATAAAAAAGAAATGAAATTACATAAGTTATTTTCCTACCCTACACCTAAAGAAAAATGTAATTGGATTAATAACCTTATTGTAAATAACTCTGATATTTTAATACCTGATCCAGTTAAAAAATTCCTAGCGTTGGGTTTAGAGTACAACTTACCTATAGCTGAACTTANTTGGATTACAGAGACAAATTATATACATAGTAACATACAGCAGTCCAGATACAGAGATTGTCGTCCCTGGTTGGTCGTCAGCCGCTGTGGAACACCGAAACGAGCGATCCAGCCATCAAAAAATGTTTTGGCTACGACAGCAGCTGTGATCTCCGACATGGGAAATGCTTCTGGCCAACGGGAGAAACAATCGATTGCCGTGAGGCAATATGCGAAGCCGTTGGATGGCGAAAGTGGTCCAAAGATGTCAATGTGGACGTGGTCGAATCGCTGATTTGGCTGGACGAATGATCCAGTCGGTGAGACGGCGTGCCAGGTGATCTTGTTCTTCTGGCACGCAATACAGCTACGTACGAACTTTTTGCAGTCACGCTCAATGTCGGGCCACACGAAGGACTTTTTAATGAGGTGACATGTGGCTCTCACCCCGGGGTGTGATATCCGTGCAGTGAGGCGATCGCCTGCTGTCGGAAGTCTTTGGTGACGAAGGGACGGGCGTTGAGCGTGGATGTGTCACAGTAGAGTTGTGCCGTGGTGTTTGGGATGGTGATTCGTTTAAGCTGGAGACCTATATTGGAACGGAGGTGCTGTCCCAGTTCGTCATCGGACTCTTGGGCGGAGGCGAGTGCCCGGAAGTCGATTGCCTGTGTGATGGGCTCTATTCAAGACAAGGCATCTGAAGGGATGTTGTTTGTACCCTCGACGTGACGGATGTCCGTGGTGAATTGTGATATGAAGTCTAAATAGTGGAACTGTCGGGGTGATACCCTTTCGGGTTTCTGCCTCAGGGCGAAGGTCAGTGGTTTGTGATCGGTGAATAGGGTGAACTGCCTTCCCTCGAGCATGTGTTTAAATTTACTGATGGCAGAATAGGCGGCATACAGCTCCCAGTCGTATGCGGACCACTTTTTCTCTGATTCCAATAGTTTCTGGCTGAAAAATGCTAACGGCTGCCAGTGTCCATTGATCCTCTGCTGTAGGGATGCCCCTACGGCGGTGGATGATGCATCAACCATTAGGGAGAGATGCGCATTTCGTGACGGGGGCTAGGAGTGCAGCACTGGCAACGGCGTTCTTTATGTTGTGGAAAGCACTGTCGACATCGGAGGTCCACTCGAGGGGATCTTTCGGACTCGGGTTGCCCTGAAGCAGTTTGTTGAGTTCTGAAGTGATGAGAGATGCATTGCGTATGAAGCGGCGATAGAAATTGACTAGTCCCAGGAATCGGCGTAGATAGCGGACTGTAGTTGGTCTAGAGAACTCGACTTTTTGCAGAAGTGGGCGGATTCCTTTTGGGTTGACCAGATACCCGAGGAATTGTACTTCTTGTTTTCCGAATACGCATTTTGATGCGTTGATTACAACACCGTAGTCACGAAGTCTGGTAAATAACTTGCGTAGGTGCTGCAAATGTTCAGTTTCGTTTTGGGACGCTATAAGTATGTCGTCGATGAAGACGTAGCAAAATTCGAGGTCACGAGTAACTTCGTCCATAAAGCGCTGGAATGTTTGCGCGGCGTTGCACAAACCAAAAGACATGAAGTTGAACTCGTAGAGTCCAAATGGTGTGGTGACAGCCGTCTTAGGGATATCCTCTGGAGCTACAGGGATGTGGTGGAAAGCATGGACAAGGTCGACGGTTGAGAAGTACCCACAACCGTGAAGAGTGGATGCGAAGTCCTCTATGTGAGGAACAGGATAATGGTCGGGTACAGTTCGTGCGTTGAGTAGACGGTAGTCATCGCAGGGTTGCCACTGGTCGTTCTTCTTTTGGGATGAGATGTAATGGCGATGACCAGCTGCTGGTGGACGGTCGGCAGATCCCTTGAACAAGCATGAATTCAAACTCGCGCTTAGCCAGAATATATTTGTCCGGCGCAAGTCACCGGGGTTTGCAGCGCACTGGTTGTCCAGGCGTCGTGATAATATGATGGACGGTGGAGTGTCGGACAGGTGCGATGGTTGGAGATGGATGTGTTATCTCGGGAAACTTGCTCAGTAGTCGGTGGTATGAAGAATTGCCGGCAATAGTTCGTACTGACAGTGTAGTGACACTGAGGATGTCCTTGGCTGACCAGTTTCGTTGTCGAGTCGATGAGACGTTTGCTGCGAAGGTCTGGGAGAAGTCCATAATGAGATAAAAAATCAGCACCGATCAATGGTTGTGTGACATTGGCTACAATGAATCGCCATGTAAAGTTTCATCAAAGAGAGAAGTCTGGCGTGATTGTTGCGTAGCCTTGTGTCTTGATTGCTNAATAAATGTAAAATTAATATGTCATTACTTGTGAATTTTCTTGAAAGTAATAATCTTACAATTAAAAAAGCAGATAAAACGAAACAATTAGTTATAATGGATAAAAATAAATTAATTGAAAAAACTAGTGAACAAATTATAAGTAGTAATTATATCCAACTAAATGATAACCCGTATGAATAAATAAAAAAGGAATTAATTAAACTAGTTAAAAAAGGTATTCAGAACAAAAATATTAGTAATACAAATAAAAATTACCGTATATACTAGATTCTAGTAATGATAGAACCCCAAAATTAAATATAAGATTGAAAACGCATAAACAAGAGAAGTTTAGACCAATTGTAGATTTTAAATTTTCGGTTCTATATAATTTAGAGCAGTATATTAAACAACAGTTAAACATATTGAAAATTCTATTTATAGTGTGGATAATGCTGAAATTGTCATTAATAGAATAAAAAAAGTTAAAAAAAGAAAATACGGATAAATTAATGAGCCTTGATATAAAAAATATGTATCCCAATATAAACTGGGAGTTAATAAGAGATAGTTTAATAGAATTGAATGTAGAAAAAACTTTAATTGATTTGATACATGTTGCATATATGAACAATTATTTTAAGGTGAATGATAAGTTTTATAGACAGATTGATGGTATAAGTATGGGGTCAAAGATGGGGCCAAAATTAGCAGAAATAGCTATGATTAATATAGATAAGAAAATAAATAACATTAAAGGCATAAAATTAATAGTAAGATACGTAGATGATTATTTAATAATATATAACAGTAGTTTAACTAATAAAAACATTATACATCCCTTTATAAATGGTATAAATAAAAAAATACAATTTGACATTGAACTAGAAGAAAACAAAAAAATTAATTATCTTGATATCACTATTATAAATAACACTAAAAAATTTGAATTTATAACATATAAAAAATCATGTGATGTTAAAAAAACCACTAATTACAATTCTTACATACCTGATTATATAAAAAAGAATTCATACCTGATGGAATTAAAAAAGATATATACACGTATAACAGAAGAACATAATATTAACCTTAAATTAGAAGAATTAGATAATAAGTTCATTTTGAATGATTACCCAAAATTTAAAATTAATAAGTGGAGAGCTTACTTCTTGAAAAATAGATTTAATACAAAATATAAATCTGAAAAACAGTATAAAAAATTCCCATACATAAAAGATATATTTGAAAGTATCAGTAAAATCCTTAAGAAAGACAATATATGTTTGGCCCCATCTTTGACCAATAAGATTACAGATAATGTTTCTAAATATATTAATAGAAGTAACCTTAATAATATAGATCCGTTAAAAAAGACAGGTATTGTATACAAAATAGAATGTAACTGTATGAATCCATGTAGTTATATAGGTGAAACTGGAAGGGTATTAGATGTAAGAATAAAGGAACACGAAGCGGCTATCAGATTGAGATATAAAAATTCGCCATGGTACGAACACACGGAAAACAATAAATGTAAAATTAATCGCAATAATATTAAAATTCTACACCATGAAAAGGACATATATAAACGTAAATTTAAAGAACACTTAGAAATTAAGAAAAACCAAAATAATTTAATAAATATTTCTGATGGGATGCAAATAGATTCTAGATGGTACAAAATGATAGAGGGCGCTATATAGTAATAAAATAATGAAGTTATTGCGATTGATTTAAAAGTGGTATTCTAATGTATTGCTAGTTGGTTTGATTGTTCGTATGCTATTTATATTTTAAAGGTATGTAATGTATTGGTTATTGTATACACTTGTTAAGTTTACAGTAAAGTCATAATGTATAATGGTTTTTAGAAGAGATGTTATGCAAACACTTCAAGTGCATTTTAAATGGAAAACAAATGGTGTTTAGATGTAGTGGTAGCCCATACACAACTTTTACTTTAAGAGTAAGTAAGTAGTGATATTTTGTAATGTATTTATGTCATGTATTGGTTATTGTAACTTTTTATTGTTTTTTGAAAAATTAGCACTGAAGAGGGGTTGGATGAGTATACCAACCCGAAATGCATATGTCATTTTTTAAAGAATAAAAGTGAGTTCCTAACTAAAAGTTTTGCTGTGAGTCCGTCTACCAAAAACCTTTTGGATTACAGAGACGAATTATATACATAATTTCAAATCTCGTCGATTCGTTTTTTGTTTGAGAACCACGCAACTCTTGATTACTCATTCCCACCACAGTATTATTCAACTTATATGTTCGGACGTGTCGCGCA